TTGATACTTTATTGGCGGTTATAGTTTTTTTATAATAAAATTATATATCTAAAAAAAAATTATAATTGTTTAAAAGAAGACATGATCAATCACATGATGAATTATAGAATTCTTTGAGCAATTGTAATTTTTTCACTATATGTATAAGTTAACCTTCAAAAGTTATATTGAAAATTGTAATTTCGATATTAATTATAATTTATTATGGTCGGTCATATATTTTCAAAATTATAATTTATACATTAAAAAAAATTATAATTTTTAGTGCCGTATAACCAGCGGCACCATAGCCTTTACCTTTTACCCATCCTTTCAATCAATCTGCCGCTTTTGGTGGGCTATTCACTCTAGTGTGCCACATGTCCATTTCATTAATGTTAGCTGAAAGTCCATGCTAGTAGCCTAGAAAAACTTAATCATGTGTTTGGTTGTAACAAAGGGACAAATGATTATTATTTACCCAAAAAAACAAAGGGGACAAATGACATTCTATCCCTTTAATATTTTGCTTAAACATTTTCGTACTATGCCCACATTTTCTTTAAAATAGAAATAGNAAAAAACAAAGGGGACAAATGACATTCTATCCCTTTAATATTTTGCTTAAACATTTTCGTACTATGCCCACATTTTCTTTAAAATAGAAATAGTATGTCACATTTACTAGCAAATGTCATTTTTTGGTCTATGGACATTCCATGTGAAATTCTATTATATCTTTTTTGAAATTAAAAATTTAATGTGAAATTNAGTATGTCACATTTACTAGCAAATGTCATTTTTTGGTCTATGGACATTCCATGTGACATTCTATTATATCTTTTTTGAAATTAAAAAATTAATGTGAAATTTTATCATTGAAATGATAAATTAAAAAAAATTAAAATTTATTAGGGAGTAAAGTACCATTAACACTTTCACAAATAAAACTCATACATTATGGAGTTAGAAGTGTGGAATAAAAACATATACAATTTGTATACTATTTTTAATGTTATGATTGTATTTAGGATTGATAATTGAGTCGAGTTTATTTTTTTAAATAATTTTAAAAAATTGTTCAATTTTAATTTGTTTAAAAAATGAGTCAAGTCCAAGTCGAACAGAGACCATGTAGTTTGATTATTTTATATATAAATAAATTAAAGTTTACAAGTTTGACTTGATTTTTTTTTATACTTTTTTTAAAATAAATATAAAAAATTATTCATNCCATGTAGTTTGATTATTTTATATATAAATAATTCGAAATTTACAAGTTTGACTTGATTTTTTTTTGTACTTTTTTTTTAAATAAATATAAAAAATTATTCATAACTTGAGTTGAGGATTATCCCAGCCGGACTAAAGTAGCTCGGCACAATTTTCGGGATGAAATTGTCATTCTGGCGGTAGGTGATGGGCATTAAAGGACTTTCACATTGCACCACCTCAAACGACAAGCAACAGTAATCAATCCAGTCATAGCACATGGGGCTCCATCTGTTAAATCTTTCCCTCGCTCGCCAACGCTCTCTGTCTGACTCTCTCTCTCTCTCTCTCTCTCTCTCTCTCTCCTGTTCAGTTTCAAAAGTCGATCTTCCATAGTTCCTTTCCATTACTTCCCAGAAATTATGACATTTCCCGAAACTCACGTNAGTCATAGCACATGGGGCTCCATCTGTTAAATCTTTCCCTCGCTCGCCAACGCTCTGTCTGACTCTCTCTCTCTCTCTCTCTCTCTCTCTCTCTCCTGTTCAGTGTCAAAAGTCGATCTTCCATAGTTCCTTTCCATTACTTCCCAGAAATTATGACATTTCCCGAAACTCACGTCCAATTCCACCTGGATTTTCTACTCTTCTATTTCGACCAAAATGTACCCCTGATAACATTTCCCATTCAATCCCAATGATTTTCTGAACTCACGACCCTTTAACATACGAACCCAGATCTTGGGTCCTTCTTCTTTTCAAAATCCCACAAACCCATCAGTATTTCTCAAGCCAAAAATCAAATGGAACATAAACACAAGCTCATACTCATTCTTGGACTAACCTTGGTATGCATCTTAACATTTCTTTTCTTTGTGATCTTTTTGTGCCGTAAAAGGCTAGCAAAACATGAGTCAAAAGATATAGAAACCATCTCTAAGTGTGAAGAACCACTTGAAATAGATAGAGAGGACTTGATCAAGTTTGAAGGTGGTGAAGATCTCACTATTTATGATATACTAGATGCTCCTGGTGAAGTTATTGGGAAATCCAGTTATGGGACTCTGTACAGGGCCAGTTTAATGAGGATCAATTCGGTTGCTCTGCTTCGGTTCTTGAGGCCTGTTTGTACCGGGAGGATTGATGAAGTGGTGCCTTTGGTACATGTGTTGGGGTCTCTAAGGCATCCCAATTTGGTGCCTTTATGTGCTTTTTATGCTGGGCCAAGGGGTGAGAAGCTGCTAGTTCATCCCTTCTATAGCCGTGGCACTTTGGCTCAATTCATTCGAGGTAATGTTCTTAAAGTCTGCTACTTATACTAGTTTTTGATTCTTTTGAGAGTGTTTGTCTATATTGATTTATGTCATGGTGAAATTGGTAAAAACAGGATTGTGATTTGATGTTGATTGAGGAATTGGGGCGGCTGAAAATGTTGGAATTGGCTGTTATAGAAGTGTCTAATTTTATTTGCTGACAGTAACCTTAGTTTGGGATTAATAGAAGGAAACAAAAAATGAGAATTGATTAAGATAATATGAACGGAAAAAAAAGACAATTATTGCTGTTTCCTTGGTTATTAATTCTTCACATGAATATTATTCTTTTTCCTGTCATGGGGTGGTTTTGGAAATTTAGTACAGCTCACAGATTTCTGTCAATTGCTTTTTCTTAATTGGTACAATTAGAGTTCTTCTTTTGTGTGTCCAAGTCTTGAATATATCTTTCCATCTTTTAGATTCATATCCGGGTACTTGTTTCCATTTTGGTAGGTGATCTGAAATAAAATTTAATTATCAGTTGTTATGTTTGTCGATTTTTCGGTGTAAATGGTCCTGCAAGAACAAGAGAAGTTGCTCAACTGCATCAAAGCTGAATGTTGCTTTTTCTAAGTTTCTTAACATTGAAGTCTTTTCGTTTTTTTTAAGAGGGCTGGAGTGTATATTCTAGAGGAATAAGTGAAGGTCTTATTGAGTAATTCTGAGCTGGATTTAGTAGACTGGTCTTCGTTTGCATTATGATCCTTGTATAGTCATATTCAGATTTTTTTCAAAAATGAGTCATATCACAATTTCCTCTGTTGTCCCTCTCAGTCCTTTACCCTTTCGATGAGGGTTCTAATAATAGTGGTTGTCACGTTCTTATTAATTCGATTTTTCTTTAGACCTGTTCTTCAGCTTGAATAAATCAATCATGAACCTGCTATTTTACTTGTCATTCTATCACCAAACATGGAGTGTTGCATTATATATTGAGTAGGACAGCTACGTTTGTAATGGACAGATGGAAATGGTGAGTCTCTTAAGTGGGGCAGGATTTATAGGATATCTGTTGGTATTGCCAGAGGATTGGATTATCTTCACACAGGAATGCAAAAGCCTATAATCCATGGAAATCTCAAGTCAAATAATGTATTATTGGATCGCCGTTACCAACCGTATGTGTCAGATTTTGGCCTACATCTTGTCCTGAATCCGACTGCAGGACAAGAAATGCTTGAAGCTTCTGCAGCTCAGGGATACAAAGCACCCGAGTTGATAAAAATGAAGGACGCGAGTGATGAGACTGATATTTACAGCCTTGGAGTAATCTTACTTGAGTTAGTTACGGGAAAAGAACCTATCAATGAGAATCCAACCCCAGATCAAGATTTTTATTTGCCAAGCTCCATGAGGAAGGCTATCCTTGATAATCGAATTACAGATTTATACCATCCAGCAATTCTTCTTGGACGAAGCAATAATCCACACCCAGTTAGTGAAGAATCCATTCTCAAATTCTTTCAGCTCGCATTGGCTTGCTGTTCTCCCTCACCTTCCCTGAGGCCCAATATGAAGCAAATCCTTGGGAAGCTTGAAGAAATTGGAGAGTAAAGACTGTGGAAGAGAGAGTTGTTTGAGGAATTGATCTCGACGATTGACTCCTTCAATTGTCAATTACTAAAAAGATGATGGATATGATGACACTAACATCTGGGGAAGTATCTCTTCTGGTTATTCCCTTGAAGCATAAGCTGAAATCGTGCTATCCAAAATTCTTATAAATTTTTCATAGAGAAGAGTTTCACTTGAGGAGTTCTCCTGAAAGCAGAGAAAGATTAGAAAATTCTGCTGACAAACAAGAATTTATGATTTAATCTTACTGCGAACAATCAATTGACATGGTATTATGGATACTTTGGTTTCAGCTCCGGTATTTGGGTAAAATAAAATCAATAGTGGCATAGTTCTGTAAGCGAGGGGTTAACCGCGAAAATGATTATCACTGGGATCATGGAGAATTATTTGAGACGTGAAGAGGGGTTTCGATGCGTTCCACTGATGGAAGAAATAGCTAAATTGGTATCCTGCCGCTTTTTTTTTCCTCCTTTTTTCGGGTTTTTGAACAACACAATGTTTGGTTGTTCATTGGCATCAGAAAATGTCAGGAATTTCGGGCCCGGGGGGGGGGGGGGGGGGT